TGAGACTGGTAGGAAGGGTGGAAACAGGAACAGGGCTAGCCCCACTCCATGGGTGGTGGCTGAGATTCTGGAGAAATATCTCCACTGCAGAGGTTCCCAATTAGGAGCATGGGGTTTCAAACCCACACCAGAGCACCTGAGCCAGGAAGAGGTGCCCACGTATCATCTGGCTGTGAAAATCAGCAGGGTTCTGTCTACCAGGAAGAGACAGGGGTCTACTAGAGACACAGGCCGCCTTTTGTTTTTTATTTTTTTAATTTTAATTTTTTATCCACACCCAAGGACATTTTTGCATTTATCTTCAGATAGAGCGGGAGGGAGAGAGGGAGGAAGAGAGAGAGAAACATTGATGTGAGAGAGACACATCGATTGGTTGCCACCTGCATGACCCCAACCAGGGCTGGGGACAAACTGCAACCAAGGTACGTGCCCTTAGCAGGAACCAAACCTGGGACTCTCTGGTCCGCGGACCGGTGCTCTAACCGCTGAGGCAAACTGACCAAGGCACACAGGTCCCCTTTTAAAGCAGTGGTTCTCAACCTTCCTAATGCTGCGACCCTTTAATACAGTCCCTCATGTTGTGATGACCCCCAACCATAAAATTATTTTTGTTGCTACTCCATAACTGTAATTTTGCTACTGTTATGTCTTAGGTGACCTCTGTGAAAGGGCCGTTCGACCCCCAAATGGGTCATGACCCACAGGTTGAGAACTGCTGTAAAGGGCCAACACATAAAATCTTGTTTGCAGCCACTCACTCTGGGCTCCAACAGAAGGATAGTGGAGTGGACTAGAGTTGTGTGAGAAGAGACTGGGGTTTCTGGGGTAAGAGCTGAAGGAGCAGCTGCCATGATCTCTGTCCTGAGTCCCTCTCCCACACCACAGATGCTATCTTTCTTGGGTGGAATGCTTTTCTCAAGGCATCAGCATGGGGGAATGCAATAGCTCCACTTTCTGGATTCCCTGGTGCTCCACCCTATGACACTCATATCCAGCTGAGGAGTCAGCTGCCAAAGCAGGGGTGTAAAGGTCCAGACAGACCAGAGGGTGTCACTGAGTTGTGTGGCCTTGAGGTGGGGGCCACTCCTCTCCTTCACCCAATCCTGACTGGCACTCTCCTACATGGGAGATCCAGTAGCCCCCACCTCTTGGCAGCCCCATCCTGCTGAGCTTGGTCTCTAGGTAAAATCTGGGACAAACGGAGTTGTATGGCACAATGATAAGGACCGTTTTTCCCCTCACACACCCAACTGGTGCAGAGCTCTCCCTTCACACTGCCAAATCTTGGTCTGTTTGGGACTGAAAAACTCTACTGACCTCATCCTGATGAATTTCTGAGACCCTACCTCACCACAACGTCTTCAGGCACCCAGCGGGTGGCAGCTAGACTTGGTGTACACTGGGACTTTTGCTGACTAGCTTTAGACACAGCACTGACACTGAGATTGAGCTTGTACTAATCTGGTGATACCACTCGCCCCAGCCTAGTGACTCATTAACTTTCTTCATACAATTCAAGTACCATCAGAGGCTCTTTCAATAACAGCCTAACAGGCAGCCAGCCAGCAGGTGGAGGTGGATCTTGGGGTTCCTTGGGTCTTTTGCTGATCTTCCCATGAGTTGTTGCTGGTGGAAGCCAGACTTGGTGCACAGCTTGGTCCTTCCTATGCACACCAAGGCCCAGCAGAGGCAACCACAAACTGTGGATTGCTTTGTAGCTCCAAGTAGGTTGCCCACAGCTAGTCACAGGAAGTGTTTGGCATTGATATAGACCAGAATCCCACCTAAGAGGTCCCACAACCAACACACCCAGTGGCCAGCTTCAGACAACATCAGAGCAGGATCCAGTTAGCTTCAGAAGCAGCATATCCAAAGGGAGATCTTGGCAGACACCAGACCCTGCTGAGGTGAATTCCACTCAGTGTGATAAGCACCCACACAGCAGCTCATACACAGTGATTGATGTCAATCTTCAGTCAGCAAGAATGGGCCAATGGCAACTAAGACTCAATTACAACAGTAGGGTTCATATAACCCACACAAGAAGCATTTCTGGAGAAACCAGTCCAAGTGACTAAGGAGACTGTGGTACTAGATCCCATAGGATACCTCCTATATAAGGCTACCCTACCAAGACTGGAAGACATAGATCTACCTAATATATTGAAACAAACATAAAGAAGCCAAAATTAGGAGAGAAAGAAACATGCCCCCAATGAAAGAACAGGAGAACTCTTCAGAAAAAGAGTTAAATGAAATGGAGGCAAGCAATTTACCAGATATAGAATTCAAATAAATTGTTATAAGAATGATCAAGGAACTTAGTGAGAACTACAAAAGTGTGAAAAAGGACACAGAAGCCATAAAAAAGAACCAGTCAGAAATGAAAAATACAATATCTGAAGTGAAGAATACATGAGAAGAACTAAACAGTGGGTTGGATGAAGCAGTGGATCTAATTAGCAATTTGGAAGGCAAAGTAGCAGAAAACACCCAATCAGAGCAGCAAAAGAAAGAGAAATTTTAGCCCTGGCCAGTTTGGCTCAGCGGTTAAGCATCGGCCTGCGGTCCTGAGAGACCCGGGTTCGGTTCCCGCTAAGGGCATGTACCTCGGTTGCAGTTTGTCCTCGGCTCTGGTTAGTCGTGCGGGTGGCAGGTACTCAATGTGTTCCTTTCACATCGATGTTTCTCTCTTTCTCTCTCTGGTTCTCTCTCTCCCTCCCACTCTACCTGAACAAAAATAAATGGAAAAATGACCTCGGGTGAGGATAAAAAAAAAAGAGAGAAAAAATTTTAAATGAGGACAGTTTAACGAACCTTTGGGATAACATGAAACATAACAACATCTGCATCATAGGGGTACCAGAAGGAGAAGAGAAAGAGCAAGGGACTGAAAACCTATTTGAAGAAATAATGACTAAAAATGTCCCTAACTAGTGAAGAAAAAAGACACATAAGTCCAGGAAGTGCAGAAAGCCCAAACAAGATGAACCCAAAGAGGCACACACCAAAACACATCATAATTAAAATGGCAAAACTTAAGACAAAGAAGGAATCCTAAAAGCAGCAAGAGAAAGACAGTTCCTTACTCACAAGGGAGCTTCCATAGTTTGTCAGCTGATTTCTCAAAAGAAACATTTCAGGCCTGAAGGAATTGGCATGTAATATTCAAAGTGATAAAAAGCAAGAACCTACAGCTAAGACTAATTTACCCAGCAAGGCTATCATTTAAAGAAGAGCCCAGCCGGTATGGCTCAGTGGATTAAGCGTCATCCCATGGACTGAAAGGTCCCAGTTAGATTCCTGGTCAGGGCACATGCCCAGATTGTGGGCCCAATTCCCAGTTGGGGGTGGTATACAAGAGGCAGTCAATAAATGTTTCTCTCTCAAATCAATGTTTCCATCTCTCCCTTCCTCTCAAAATAAATAAATAAATAAATAAAAATAAAAACGTATTTAAAAAAAGAAGATATAAAGTGTTTTAAAAGTAAAATCAAATAAAATTGAAGAATAAATAAAAAGCTTCCCAGTCAAGAAAAAGCTGAAGTTCATTACCACAAAACCAGTATTACAAGAAATGGAAAAGGGTCAGAAGTAGAAGAAAGAAAAAGAAGGAAGAAGAAAGAGGAAAAGAAACAAATTCTAATGTAGTTATAAAGTCTAAAATGGCAGTAAATATATACCTATCAATACTCACTTTAAATGTAAATTACTTAATGCTCCAATCAAAAGACATAGGATAGCTGAATGGATAAGAAAACAATACATATATATGCTGTCTACAAAAAACCCACCTCAGAACAAAAGATACAAACAGACTAAAATTAAAGGAATGAAAAAAAAAATAGTTCATGCAAACGGAAAGGGGGGAAAAAAAACTGGAGTGGCAAAAATTATATCTGACAAAAAAACTTTAAAATAAAGGCTATAATAACAGACAAAAAAGGACACTACATAATGATAAAGGAAGCAATTTAATAAGAGGATTTAACCCTTGAAAACATTTGTGCACTGAACATATGTGCACCTAAATATTTAAATTAATCTTGGTGGACATAAAGGAAGAAATCAACAGTAATCCAGTCTTAATAGGGGATTTTAACATCCAGCTGATATCAGTAGATAGATCTCCCAGACAGAAAATTAACAAGGAAACAGTGGCCTTAAATGGCACTCTAGACCAGATAGATTTAATCTATATCTTCAGACATTTCACTCAAAAGAAGCAAAATATGCCTGGCTGCTGTGGCTCAGTGGTTGAGTGTCGACCCATGCACCAAGAGGTCCGCGGTTTGATTCCTGGACAGGGCACATGCCAGGTTGTGGGCCCAATCCCCCATGGGGGGCATGCAGGAGGCAGCCAATTGATGTTCTCTCATTGATGTTTCTATCTGTCTCTTCTCCCTTCCTCTCTCTCTAAAATCAATTTTAAAAAATTAAAAAAAGCAAAATATGCATCTTTTCAAGTACACATGGAGCAATTTCTCGGGTAGACCACATGTTAGGAGACAAAACATGTCTCAATCAATTTCAGAATATTGAAATCATATCAAGCATCTTCTCTGACCATAATGGTATGAAACTAGAAATCAATCAGTGAAAGCAGTCCTAAAAAGTGTTGTGGTGAGGGTCCGCAAAATGAACAAAAGACAAAAACACGCACAAAGACAAGACTGCAGCTCCGAAGTCCTGCAGCTGTTTATTTTTATAGCCAAAAGGGTTGGCTGTGGTCCTAGTTCCTTTCAAGATAACTAATCTAACTATTTTTCCCTGCTGGTTCTTCTTGCGCAAATCAACCCCCCACTCAGAGTCAGCGCTGCTCTTAAGAACATCTAGTCCTTCCTGTTTGCAGGCAAGGAGGAACGTGCCTGTGTGAGGACACACTCTGAATTGTTCTTAAGAGTTGATCAACACTCCAAGGCATCTGTGTGCAGAATATCCTTGTTAACCCTTGCATGAGTCCATCCATGTTCGAAATAAACTCACATACAGTCTACATTTCCCCTTTTTAAATTTTATTTGAGATGTTACATGTTGTAAGGTCGACAACATATTTTGATTGTTGTTATCTACGACTCGCTGCTGGGACCATCGGCGGAAGACTAGAAAAGCAATAAACAAATTATAAGTAAAATAGTGGTATTACTAAGAGTAGTGCTTACAAGAGTCTTAATTTGTCCAAAGGGATTTAAATTTGCCATTCCATCAGCTAAGTTTTCTAAAAGATCACTTCCCGTGAGAGATGGCAAGTTGTTGCTATAAGTATTTTCAATTTCTTTCTCTAGAGCTAGAATTTCATTGGTCAGGTTAGCATGACCTATTAATGTTCTCTTAATCTTATCCTAACTTTCTGATACATTGTAAGGCAAAGGAGTGACACAAATATGGGAAGAGTTCCAGTCACATTTTAACATAGATTTTGTGGAAAGCACAGAAATCTTATCTCCCCACCGCTCAACAGTTTGTTTTAAGTTTTGAATGTCCACTGCCATTTGAGAGTCCAATTCTTGTTGTTGCCATAGTAGATGTGAATCCCGATGCCAGTTCTGAACGAACTCTGCAGTTTGGATGCCCTGATGTAGAGCCACTCGGACAACAGTAGCGGTAGCAGTTACAGCAGCAAGTCCAAGAATGGCAGCTATAATCAATCCGATGGCTCGATGCGAACGCTTCAAAATAGTGTCTATGGCATGGTACAGGGCCGTAAGCCCAGCAGGTACACTCCATAGTCTTGTAAGATTAACAGGCAACTAAAGTTCTCTTCTAGTTCTGGTGATTAAGAGGCTGTCCCGGGTCCAATTAAAGGCATTCCACCACGAGTAATTAACGCATTGGAGAAAATGGCAATTCTGGCAATGAATTTCTCCATTGCTTTTGTTCCATGTCCATTCTCCAGCAACCAATAGATAAGGGTAGGGTATACAGGCTTGGCCCCAATAGGAGCTATTAGTATGTAAATTGACAGAAAAAGGACTACTACTGGAAATATTTAATGACATATTACCTATCCATGTATGGATCGGCTCTCCCACAGCCAAAAGTTTCCATATGTGGCCCTGGCTTTTGGGATGACCTTGAAGGTGAGGCATGGGAGGGGTAAGACCGCTTTCCTGCCAGATTACAGTTTCATTTCCTTGGCCCAACAGACTCTGATTATGTCTGTGCCAATGTAGGTTATGTTTAGAAAATTTCTCTTGAAATTGTCCATCGGGACTCCAATCAGTAATAACAATTCCAGTATCAGTGTCATTTAGTAGGACAGAGGGATTATGACCCCGGCAGGCAGTCCATTCTAATTGATGAAATCCTGGCTCTAACTGTGGCAAAGGGCATAAAGGCAAATAACTTTCCAGATCAGAAGCAATAACTTGACTCTTGTTCACCTTAAATCATTTTACTGATAACATGACAATAGAAGAGGCAAAGGTAGAGTGTTTATAATGAAGACCCTATGCCTCATGTGAAGGTTTCAAGCAAAACTTATTATAACCTATGCATATAGGGTCTCCTTCTACTGCTATAGTAAGGTTGCTAACATTAGCAGTGTGTAGAATGGAGGGATGAGTAGCCCATCCCCCCCAGGAAGGAAGAGGAAATATGAAAGTGTTATTAGTACAGACAGGGATTTCAGCTTCTCCCCATGCCACCCCTTGTAGCAGATGGGGGTAAGGAATGTAAGCCCAGTAGGTATAAGGAGTAGCTGAGACTATACTTACCTGGCATGTGATAACGGCCATCATTGCCAGCAATAGATTAGTTGGTGTCTGCGGCTGGTTCAGACGGCAAAGCGCATTTCAGCTTCCTGGGTCAATTTCTTCAGTTGACCCCATGTAGGGGGCTTGGCTTGCTGGGTTCCCACAGTAATGGTACAGTTCGTGCTCATTTGGGAGAAGGCACGGAACGGCATATCATCCATGGGCCGAGAGTTGCTCATTATCTCCACTTTAGCCGGCGGGTGGGTAGCCACTCACACGCTTCCCCTGTGGAAACATAAGCAAATCCTCGCCCCAAATGCAGAAGTTCTCTCTCTCTCCAGGCTCCATCTAGGGTCTTGTACCAGCCAGATAGGGCGAGCCAAGCCTTTATCTGTGAGCATTATTTGCTCCTCTGCAAAATGTTTTTCTGCCGCAGTCATGCCAATTTGATCTCAATAATTTAAAAAATTGAGAGTATATAATATTTTATGGAGAATATCTTTAGGTCTCATACCTCATATTCCCCCTTTTTGTTTTTGTAAATAAGATCTTAGACTGTGATTTGCATGTTCAATGATGGCGTGTCCTTGACTATTAAAAGGAATACCTGTACCATGTGAAATTTTGTATTGGTTCAAAAAGTCAGCGAATTTTTTGGTACAATAAGCTGGGCCATTATCCGTTTTAATGTTTTTTGGCTTCCCCATGATTGCGAAGCAGATTAATAAATGAGAAATAACAGTCAGTTTTTTCATTAGACATAGCAGACGCCCAATGAAAATGTGAATAAGTGTCAATGGTATGATGGATGTATTTTAACTTCCTAAAAGGCGTATATTGAACAATGTCCATTTGCCAAATTTGATTAACATCTTGACCCTGAGGATTCACTCTGAGGGGTAGAACACATAAATTGTGAGGAGCACAACATCACAGTTGCGAAGGATCTGTTTAGCCTGCTTATAGGTTGGATTATATCTTTTTCTGAGTCCCGGAGCATTGGTGTGGGGTAAAGTGTGTTCTTCAGTAGCATTTTGAACAGCACCAATAAGTAATTTATCAATATATTGATTCCCCTGGCTCAGGGGACCTGGTAAGTCTGAATGAGATTGAATATGAGTAATAAATATCGGCATCTGTCTTTGGGTAATACATTGGAACATAGAAAGTAATTTTTCTAAGGAGGAAGAGGGCACCAAAGGAAGAGACACTTGTGAAATTAATTACGTGGTCAGTACTGCATATTGAGAGTCAGAAACAATATTAACAGGTGTCTGGGCATAGTCTTTATTTATTTATTTAATCCTCACCCGATGACATTTTTCCATTTTTTGTTCAGATAGAGTGGGGGGGGGGGGGGAGAAAGGGAAACATCGATGTGAAAGGGATACATCGAGTGGCTGCCACCCACACAACCCAACCAGAGCCGGGGACAAACTGCAACTGAGGTACATGCCTTTAGCGGGAACCGAACCCAGGTCTCTCTGGACTGCAGGCAAATGCTCTAACCACTGAGCAAAACTGGCCAGGGCTATTTTACTTTATTTATTAAAGGCTGATTTAACCTCCTAAATTGATTTCATGATCCACACTAATGTGTGGTAACTCAGTATGAAAAGTACTTTAGGTGCTGTTCTTTGAAATAAGTAGTAGTGAGATATAACCAGCGATGTGGTTTGGAAATATAAAATTAAATAGCAGCAAAAATGATGAGAAAAAAGGAGACAGGGTAGGAGAATGCAACAATAATACAGGGGAGTGAAGGGAATGAAGAGAACATTTCAGGAGCTTTTGTTTAAGATGGAACATTCTGAACTTACTGGCTGGATATGCAGGGAAAAGGAGACAGCAGAATCAGAGATAATGCTGTGATTTCCAGCCAGGTGGCTGAGCAGATGAAGTGCCTTTAAAAGGAATGGGGAAGTCAGGGGGAGAAGCAAGTATATGTGTATGTAAGATTATCAATTCTATTTTGGACAAAGAGTATTTGTGGGATTTAGAGAAAATTGGTAGTAGGTAACCTGACTGTAGCACAGCAGTTGAGATGAGACCAAAAGAGAAATGCTGGGTTTAACCCAAGACGGTAGTTCAAGTTACAACAGAAGATGAGATGCCCCCAAAATAGAGAAGACAAAAAAGTTTGCCTTTATGGTTAAGAGAGGGGGAAAAAAAAAAGAAGTTCCACAGGGAGTGAATTAAAAGTGGCAAATGCTACTGAGATGGAAAGATGGTTCAGTTCTGCCCCTTCAAGAAGAAGGTGGAGTCCACGAGGACCTTCCTCCAGGCGGTGAGCAGCGAGAAGGTCCGCTCCACCAACCTGAACTGCTCAGTGAACTGCTCAGATGGGCTGAAAACAACAACAACAAACAGCATTGGATTTAGCTAATAAGAGTGAGAAGTATCATGAGGGAGTGGCAGGGGAAGCCGAATTCAAAACGGTTAAAAAGTGAGTGATGATTAGAAAATGAACTAAATTCAAGTTCATCCAGACCCCTCCTGGATCCTGTCTCGTCCCAGAAGCACTGGTTAGATTTGTAGTCACAGGGCTTTTTTTTTCTGGTGGTGGGGGTGGCGGGGTGGGGGCGGTGGCTCACTATGACCCTCCAGATAGTGATTTAAATGGTTAAGTTCAGCTTTTCTTGGACAAGTGTCCTGGTAAGTCCCAGGCTAAAATCTGTTGGTCTCTTACACGCTGTCAGCGACCCGCACCAGCGCCAGGCTTGTCCCTGCTCCCCACCACACCCCTGGCCTGGATGTGGGAGGCAAGGCAGTGAGCATTTCTTGGGCAGCGAGGTGGGTGCCGTGCAAAATTAGGCGATGCCCGTCTCCAAAAAGCACATCCACGCAGGGTCGGAGCCGTCGTGCCTCACGTCCGCAATCACTGAGCAGTTCAAGTTGGTGGAGCGGACCTTCTCACTGCTCACTGCCTGGAGGAAGGTCCTCGTGGACTCCACCTTCTTCTTGAAGGGGCAGAACTGAACCCGAACTTCCTTGACAGCCCGAAGCCCAAGCCAAGCCAAGGTTGCCGCCATGGTAACCTCTCATAGCAGCACTATTTACAATAGCTAAGATCTGGAAACAGCCCAAGTGTCCATCAGTAGACGAATGGATAAAAAAGCTGTGGTACAAATACACGACGGAGTACTATGCAGCTGTAAGAAAGAAAGATCTCTTATCCTTTGAGATGACATGGAGGGATCTGGAAAGTATTCTCCTAAGCAAAACAAGCTAAGCAGAGAAAGACAAATATCACATGATGTCACTTATTTGTAGAATATAATGAACATAACAGTCTGAGGAACAGGTAGACCCAGAGACATGGAAGTAGGGTACAGACTGACAATCCTCAGAGAAGGGGTTGGGGTGGGGAATAGATAAACCACAGAAGTTAGATGCATGTACGCATAACCGATGGACATGGACAACAAAGCTGGGGACCAGGGTGGGGTGGGGTGGGGAGAAGGGTGTCAATGGGGAAAAGAGGAGAAACATTTGTAACAAAAATAAATTAATTAAAAAAACAAAAAACATAAGTGTTGTGACATCCTACAAATGGCAACTATAAAAAGAAAAGTTGATGCAGAGTGTTGATCTTTCCAAGAGAAATGGACAAGTGATTCTTTTTTTGTCAAAGTCAAAGGCAAACCTGTGTGCCTAGTTTGTGGTGATGCAGCAGTAGCAGTAATGGAAAAAAAAAAAAGCCAATCTGGAGCGTCATTACAGCTCAAAACAAGCTAAATTCAATCAATTGGGAGGCCAAATGTGCCTGGATAAAATCAATGCTCTTCAGTGGAGTTTGGAATCACAAGCCACTTTTACTAGGCCTCGTTGTGACAGAGACAATATTATTCAGACAAGTTATACAGTGAGTGAGCTAATCGCAAAGCAGCTGAGGCCTCATGCATAGGGAGAGTCTGTGAAAGAGTGCATGGTGGCTGCTGTGGAGTTGTTAGCACCAAAGTGAAATTGTTTCAGTGTTAGTTTGTCTCCACGAACCATCTCAGATCAGATTACTGACTTAGCATGAGATATTGAAAAAAAACCAAAACACTGAAGGATTCTGCAGGAAATTTCCGATTTTTCTCTCTGGCTTGTGATGACGATACAACAGACATAACAAATACTGCCCAACTGGACGTTTTCATTTGTGGAGTAACTGCAGAGTTTGACACGCGAGAGGAACTGCTGTCGCTGGAAGCCATGCATGGCGCACAAGAGGTGAGGACTTGAGAGACTTGTTTTACCAATGAAAAACCTTTGAGTTAACATTTGAAAAGTGAAGTGGCCTTACTACAGATGGAGCTCCAGCCATGGTTGGCTTGCAGAAAGGGTTTATTGCATTTGTCAAGAAAGAACTGTATCAGCCTTGATCCAAGTGATTTAATTATATGCCACTGTGTCATACACCAAGAAAGTCTCTGTGCACAGTCATTGTGACTCAACAATGTGATGTCAACAGTAGTGTCATGCATAAATTTTGTCAAAAGCAGAGGGTTTAACAGCTGCCAGTTTAAGGAGTTACTGAATGATCTTGACTCTGAGTATGGTGATCTTTCTTATTACTGTGAAGTGCGGTGGCTGAGTCATGGGAACATGCTCGTGAGGTTTTGGGAACTTTGAGATGAAGTCAAGCAGTTCATGGAGATGAAGGGAAAACCTGTCAGGGAACTCAATGATAGCAAGTGGCTGTGCGATTTAGCGCTCATGGTGGACATTACCTAGTACCTCTCAGAGCTAAACATCAAGCTGCAGGGCCCCAACTAGCTTCACAGATCCCTGCTTTCAAACGTGAAATCATTTGAAGCTAAATTAAGGCTATGGAAAGTGCAGTTCGAGAGTGCATTTCCCCACTCTGGAAGGAAAAAAGCCTTCTACGACACTTGAATATTGCTGGTGAATATATGAAAATAATTGAGGCATGTAATGAAAGATTCAAGGACGGGAAAAGTAAACAAATGGAATTGAACATCTTTGCTACTTTCCAATGTGGAACCAGCTGATGTGCCTGATAACCTCCGACATGAAATCACTCAGTCGCAAAGCGATGATGAGCTGAAAGCTAGGTACAACAACCTCCCACTGCTTGAGTTTTATAAAGGTTACATAAGCAATGATGAACTTCCCACTTTGAGGAGACATGCATTGAAATATACATCTGTGTTCGGAACAACTTCTTTTCAAAACTTGCAAACCTGGAAAAGCAGCTGAGAGTAGCAACATCATCAACACCAGCTAACATCACACACCTCACCAAAGAGAAGCAGTTCCTCCATTACATTAGGGTG